TGACCATGGCTGACTCTAGGTAAAACTGGAAAACCCTGGCTGACCTTTGTCTGATCCTGACTGATCTTGGACTCTATAAGAACTGAAACTGGGCTCTGTAAGGCCTCATCATGGCTGACCCTGGCAGACCCTAGCTGACCTCTCTAATTCTGACTGAGCTTGGCCTCTGTAAGACCTGAACCTGGCCTGTCAGGTTAATGGCTGACCATTAGCCTTGCTTAACCTGGCAGATTCTGGCTGACCTGTCTAATCCTGACTGAACTCGTTCTCTGGAAGGCCATATCATGGCTGACCATGGCAGACCCTGGCTGAACTTGCTCTAATCTTGACTGAAGACCTGATCACGGCTGACTGTGGTTTACTCTCACTGAACCTGGCTGACTCTAGTTGACCTCTCTAATCCTGAATGAACTTGGCCTCTGTAAGACCTGATTGTGGCTGACCTTGGTTGACTTTGGCTGAACCTGGAAGACCCTGGTTGACCTTTGTTTAACCCTGAATGATTTTGATCACTGTAAGACCTGATCATGGCTGACTATGGTTGTCCTTGGCTGAACCTTGCAGACCCTGGCTGAACTTGGTCTGATCTTGACTGAACTTGGCCTCTGTAAGCCAATATCATGGCTGCCCGTGGCTTACCATGGCTGACCATGCTGACTCTGGAAGATTTTGGTTTGGCTATGGCTGACCTTTGCCTGCTAACGGTGGTGTGGGGTGGGTCTGGGGCATTCAGGAGACCTTAGGGGCCTCACTGGTGTAGAAGGCCTCTCCTCAGCTCTGGCCCATAGCCTAGGCCCCAGGCCCATCTGGTCAGGTCTTGGTTTTTTTTGGGCATGATCTGAAAACAGTAGTCTCTGGCTAGGACACCTGGGGCTAGGCTGTGTTCACAATGACTCACTGTCACATAGGACTATTTTGGGAGTTTCAGCAGGTGATGGGGGAACAGGAGCCTTGAGAAGAAAGAGAAAAACAACAGACCACAAACACCATTGCCTTTCCCACCTGTCTTACTCCTGCACCCCAGCCTTCTCCCATGGTGACCCTTGTGCTTGGTGACCCTTTTGGACAGGGATCTGACTCATGCCACCTAAGCCTGGGATAATTCTTTTTTCACTAAGTCAGCCAGGCACCTACACACCTTTCTAAGCCCTGGAAAGGTTGAAGCCAGGTGGTGGGACCATCTTTTCATCCTCCATCCAGTGCCAAGACCCAGAAGGTTAAAGGTTCCCAGGAAGCTTCTAGTCTTCCCTGTGGGTCACTTCCTCAGGGCATGGGAGAAGGACTCAGGGTCTGAGATATAGTGATGCAGGCTGAAAACAGGCTTCAGAGGTAGAATAAATGGGCATAAGACCAGGACCTGGCCAAGTGATGAAGACCAGGTCTGGAAATCAGAACCAAGGACCAGTGACCAAGAACAGGGCAGAGCCTTAGAACAAGGGCTGAATGACCAGAAACAAGGTTCAGTGATCAGGATAAGACCCAATGATCAAGACAAGTGCAAAATGATTATGATCAGGTCCCATTTACAGGAAATAGGTTTAAAGGATCAGACCTGGGCTCAATTATCAGGACCAGGCCCCAGTGACCAGAACCAGGGCCAAGTAACCAGAACAGAGCTCAGTGACCAAGACCAGGGTTCAGTGATCAGGCCCAGGGCCCAGTGACTAAGACCAGGATACAGTGATCAGGGTCAGGGCTCAGTGATTAGTTCTTAGGGATCAGTGATCAGGCCCAGGGCCCAGGGACCAGGACTCAGTGACCAGGACCAGGGTTCAGTGACCAGGGCCAGGGCCCAATGACCAGGACCAGGACAGAGTGACTAGGAGCAGGACACAGTAATCTGCACTCAGTGATCAGGACTCAGTGTTCAGGACTCAGGACCCAGTGATCAGGACCAGGGCCCAGTAATCAGGACTCAGGGATCAGTGACCAGGACCAGGGCCCAGTGACCAGGACCAGGACAGAGTGACTAGGAGCAGGACGCAGTAATCTGCACTCAGTGATCAGGCCCAGGGCTCAGTGATCAGGACTCAGTGACCTGGACCAGTGTCCCGTGGGCAGGACCAGGGAGCTGGGCCTGTTTTTGGTGCGAGGTCATGTGTTATACACCCCTGTGAAGCCCCACTCTTGCCTGGACCTGCCCCTTATATAGAACCTGGTCATTGTGCTCAGGCAAGGGGACCCATCTCCATGTTCACAGTGTGCCTGCCTAGGGCCACAAGGCAGTCCTTCTCTCCAAAGCCGCCCCTGCCCCCTGTTCACATCCCACACCCCACTCAGAGTCTGAGAACCTCTGCCTTTGGGATGAGTTTATTGTACCAATATGGCCTATGTGGGGATGGGTGGGTGGCTTCTGAGCTGGGCTGAGATCTGGTGTCCAGCTGGGCTCCAGGGGACTCCTCCATGCTCCTCCCTGCAAACACAAGGTGGGTCAGGGGCCAGGGAGCTCCTGAGGAGGGCAGGGTTTTTGTCAATGCCCCGTGCCCAGCCCTGGGCTGGTTCATGGGCGATTGGATTGAATCCTGCAGTGACCACAACTGGTGGGGGGACATTTGTGCTCTTGACCTCGTGCTTGCTTATGTCCTCAGTGTATATGAGGGACTACCTCCCTGAGAGACAAGACCCCAACGGACACATGCTTTCCTGGGAGCCAAGCACCCGTGTTTGCCCACCGCTCTGCCTTCTTGCCCCACCTGTGCCTGGCTGGCTCCTGCTTAGTACCGGGGGCCCTCTTTGCTGCCAGATGGGTCCCGGATGCTTGTCACGGTCAGTGCCATGCTGTAGAAGAGGCTGAGCAGGAAGAGCGTGAGCAGGGTGACCGTGGTGGGCCACAGGCTTGCTCCTGGGGTGTCCTCCTCCAGGTCTTCTGCCTGCGGGTCCAGCACTGCCCAGGGAAGCGGCTCTGGGCACTCTGCAAGACACGCATGCGACTGCGTGAGTGGAGGCCGAGCCCACGCCCTCCCCTCCCAGCACCCCTGGGGTTGGGACAGCAAGTCTGAGGCTGCATCAGGCAGGTCAAAGTGGCAGGGCCCCAGGGGAGGGGCTGTGACCCTTGCAGTCCTTGAGATTCCCTTAGGACCTCTATCTCTGAAGGTCTCAGGGCACCTCAAGGAGAGAGACCTGGCAGTACAGGAGGGTGGGCACTGTCTTTGCTGCTGCAAGGAGAGCTCAAGCTCAAGGCCTCTCGGACCTCAGCCTTAGCTGTGTCCTCAACAAGCCACTGCTCTGGGCTAGATTTGGCCTAGGCCCCGAGTGGGCCCAGAGAGGACTGCACAAGCCCACCCTCATGGCGCTCCAGGTCAAGACATAGATCTGGGCCTGTGATTCAGTGTGCCAGAGCCAGATGGGCACGACCAGGGCCCTCTGTTGCCCTCCCAGGGGATGTAGCTGATAAGCTGCAAGGAGTACAAAGGAGGCCCTGGTGAAGGCCACCAGGCAGCCCTGCCCTCTTAGGGCCCCAGGGCATGGACCTCCCCTGTTAGGTGGGATTTGGGCCTGCTTGTCATGTGCTGACATATCCAATTATCCATTCATTTGCCCATCCATCCGTCCGTCCGTCCGTCCATCCATCCATCCTTCCATCCATTCATCCATCCACCCATCCACCCGTCCATCCATCATGCATCCTGCTAGCCACCACAGATCCCATGGTCCATCTACCTATCTGCCTGCTGTCCATCTGTTGGTTCGGCCCCTCATGTACTGATCCCTCCTCCCTTCCCTGTCTCCTGAGGAAGCTCCTCCTTGAGCAGGTCCTGGGTCCCTGGTGGCCGGAGCACCTTCTGTATGGCAGCACGTCTACAGCTAACACCTTGTTCTCCCTAGTGCCCGTTGGTGACTGGACCCTCCAGAGGGGAGAGGTGGCCAGGGTGGGTAGGGGTCCCCACCCCACCTTGGCCCTGGGAGCAGAGGGAGGCAGCCAGAAGGCTAGGTCTCCTGGGGAGGCCCCGAAGGTGTCTGAGACTAGAGCAGGGGCCCCACTGCCCCCTTGTGGGGCTCTGGCGATGCCAGGTGTCCCCAGGCAGTCACGTGACTGCCCTCTCCATGCTGTTTCCCCTGGCCTCCTCTTCTGCCAGGAACCCCATGCAGAAGCTGCAGAGGGGCCTAGTGGGAGCTATCCCTTCTGAACCCCCTACCCTCCACACTGTACCCTGTCTATGGTTTGGGGCATACTTGGGCTCAGGTGGCAGTGGGAGGCTTGAGTCTGGGGGCTTGGCAGGGAGCGGGGGCTGCGTGTGTGTGTGGGGGGGGTGTCTGTGGAATTGATCCCTGAGCTGTGCACAGTTGGGCGGCAGGAAGGTCTGAGGCCAGGAGGGGCCTGGGCAATGGGCCTGCGGAAAACACGCTGGGGACTTGGGCGGGGATGCCCCTTGCCTCCCTGGAGCTGGGTCTGAGCTGTGAGCTTCCTGCACCTGCAGGGCTCACATGTGTCTGTGTGTGCACATGTGAGCATGAGCACGTGGAGAGCGTGTGTGTGCACATTGAGCATGAGAATGTAGAAAGTGTGTGTGTGTGTGTGCCTATGTGCACACAGAGCTGTGTGATGCAGGTGGGGAAGGCTGTGCCCAGGTGGGTGGGCCCCTTTCTTTGCGTCAGTGGGACTGGCCTGCACGTCTGTTAGGCCCACGGAGGGTGTGTAGGGGCAAAGCCCTGGCATCCAACACTCCTTCTCGCAGCATCACTCTCGTGCCCTGCCCCCACACAATGGCTGCAGCCTCTTCCTTGGCCATGTGCTCCCCTCTCACTCTCCTGCTGCCCCTCAAGGCACTTTTCTGAGACAAATGGAGCTCCCCGTGACCACTGAGCTCAGGAGCTGCCCAGGCGGTGCCTGCCTTGCATGCCTCTGCCAGCCTCAGGTGTCACTCCCAGCTCTACCCCAACCACCAGGCATTGCACACTCACACTCACACTCTCACACACACAAGGGCATGGGTGTAAAGGCACGTCGAGGTGCCAGGCTGAGAGGGTCAAGACAGGCGCTGGAGGGAAGCGCGGGCTGCTTTGGGCGAGCATGGAGTTTATTCAAGGGCGGGGAGGGCAGGTGGGGGCGGGTCAGTAGCAGGTGCCTTCCACCTCCGACAAGACCACGGACACGTTGACGTGGGTGGGTTTACCCGCCAGGCGGTCAATGGTCTTCTGGGTGAAGGTCAGCGGCAGGCTCTCGTGGCCCACCATGCAGGAGAAGTTGTCCCCGTTTTTCCAGGACTCAGCCTCCACGCGCAGCACGCTGGTCACGGCGAACGTGGTGACGCCTTGGCCGGCCTCGGGCAGGGGCCCCCAGGTCAGGTACTTCTCTGGAGGAAGCTCCTGCATCCCTTGCAGCCACCGCACCAGCACGTCCTCGGGGCTGAAGCCCCGCACCAGGCACGTCAGTGTCACCAGCTCATTGAGGGCCAGCTCCTCCGACGGCGGCGGCAGCAGGTGGACCTGGGGCCGGAAGTTGCTCCCTGGAGACAGAGGATCAGGTTAGGGGTCTGGGGAAAAGAAACCCTCCATCCACTGGGCGCTCTGTGCCTCTGATTCCCTCTGTATAGTGTGGGCGGGGCACTCAGGGGCTAGAGGGGAGGCAGGTTAGGAATGTGCTTCCCACAGAGTGAGGGCCAAGTGGTGGGTGGTGCCTTGCGGGAGGGGTCAAGCCCACCTGAGGGCTTGGAGATGGTGGCGGTTTTCGAGCTCTTGGACTCAGGGTGGGTGGCAGTGCATGAGAAGGTCTCCCCGCGGTTCCATGGCTCGGCGCAGCCTGGCAGGACGCTGGACACGCTGTAGCAGCCACAGGAGTCACGCTGAGGGGTCCCCTGAATGGCGTCCTGCCCACCGGAGGGATTCCAGGTGAAGGTGGCACCCTCGGGGTTTTTCAGGCCTCTCAGGGTGCACGTGAGGTTGGCATTGGAGCCCAGCAGCAGGTCCTCGAGGGCGGGCCGGTGCAGTGACAGCTGGGGCTCGCAGTTTGATGGTGGGCATATATTAGGTTGATCTAAGGGAGAGGCCGCCAGTCAGCACCCCTGAGCCCGCTTGCCCCCTATTCCATCCAGCTCCAGTCGGGGGTCCCCTCCAGGCCACCTGCTGGGGGATAAACCCAGCAACGCACTCATGTCTGAAGGGAGCTGTGGTGGGGAACATGGCAGTCCACGCCTCCCCGCCAACCTCTGACCTTTGCAGCGCACTTTCACATCCTTGTTGAAATTGGAGTTGTGCTGCACGTGGCATGTCTTGGCGGCGTCAGCTGGGCACTGGTCGGCTGGCAGGGTCAGCTGGCTGGTCATGCTGTACAGGCCCCCGGAAGCAGCCAGCATGGGGGGGAAGTTCTTGGTGGACCCGCCCTCCCCGGTCCAGGTCACCTCCATGGGCTCCGCTGGGAAGAAGCCCTGGATCAGGCATCCAACGACCACGTGTCCGGCTTGGTCGGCGCTCTTGAGGCTCAGCGGGAAGACGCTGGGGCTGGTCGGGTTCGCTGCAACACAGGGAGTGCTGTGAGACCCCTGAGACAGCCCCCAGGGCAGGCCAAAGCCCACTTATGCTCTCCACTGGGTAAACAGGCACAGAGAGGGTTAGTGACTGCCCAAGGCCACACAGCTCGTGCGCCATGGCCCCAGGGTTGGGACTGGCTGCTGAGTCCAGTGGCGCTCTTAGGAACATGCTCCTTGGATGCAGGCCACTTCTGGATAGAGCTGTAGCTGTTAATCATGGCACCCCCACTGATCGGCTGAGTCTGTTGGCATAGCCGTGCTCTCCCAGGGTTTGGGGGTCATGAAAGGTGGGCCCAGAGAGGGGCACAGGTGAGGACAGGTACCTGGACTTGAAGCTGAGCCTGCACTGGGGACTGGCTCAGCTGCTGGAGGGTACTCTGGGGAGGACCGGGGGCCTGAGCCTCAAACTCCCCTGGTCAGGACCCTGGCCCAATGACCCCTACTCTACTAACCCCACCCCAGGCCCTCAACAAGCAGAGGTCCATCCCCATGGTCCACGAGGGTCTCTAGATCAGAGGCCCAAGTCCAAACCAGCCCTCTGAGATGACCTGCCTGGACAGGCCAGGCACACAGGGCATGGCCTGCCCACTTGTATATTCCCAGTTCTCTTCAGGACCACTAGTGATACAAGAAGCAAGTCACAGATGTACCTGAGGCTGCATGGCCTTCGTGGGCCCCTAAGAAACACAGGGGGCAGTCTGGCTGGGGAACAGGGCTCTGGGGTGATCTGTACTGAATCCACCTCCTCCCATCCACCAAAGCCAGTAGTCAGCTCAACTCAGGGCAGTTCAGCCCAGCTCAGCTCACCCAGCTCAGCTCAGCCAAGTTCAGCCAAGCTAAGCACAGCTCAACCCAGCCCAACCCAGCTTGGCTAATTCAGCTCAGCCCAGTAAAGCTCAGTTCAGTCCACCTCAGCTCAGCCCAGCTCATCCCAGTTCAGGGAAGCTAAACACAGCTCAGCCCAGTTTAGTCCAGCTCAGCCCAGTTCAGCTCAGTTCAGTCCAGCTCAGCACAATTCAGCCCAGTTCAGGCAAGCTAAGCACAGCCTAGCATAGCTCAGCCTAGCTTAGCTCAGCTCAGCTCAGCCCAGCCCAGTAGAGTCCAGCTCAGTCCAGCTCAGCCAGGTTCAGCCCAGTTCAGTCCAGATCAGTTCAGTCCAGCTCAGCTCAGCCCAGCCTAGCTCAACCTAGATCAGCTCAGCGCAGCCCAGTTTAGCCCAGTTGATCGCAGTTCAACCAAATTCAGCCAGTTCAGCTGAGTTCAGCTCATTGCAGCCTATCCCAACCCAGCTTACCCAGCTCAGCTCAGTTAAGCACAGCTCAGCCCACTTCAGCTCATTTCAGCTCAGCCCAGCCCAGCCCAGTTCAGCCCGTTTCAATTCAGCTCACCCAGTTCAGCTCAGCTTAGCCCAGTTCAGCTTAGCTCAGCCCAGCCCAGCTCAGCTCAGCTCAGTCCAGCCCAGTTCAGCCCAGCTCAGCCCAGCTCAGCCATCTCAGTCCAATTCAACCCAGCTCAGCCCAGCTCAGCTCACTCAGCTCAGCTCAGGTCAGCCCAGCTCACCCAGCTTAGCCCAGCCCAGCTCAGCTCTGCATAACCCAGTTCAGCCCAGCTCAGCCAGCTCAGCCCAGTTCAGCCCAGTTTAGCTCAGCTCAGCCAACTCAGTCCAGTTCAACCCAGCCCAACTCAGCCCAGTTTAGCCCAGCTCATTCAATTCAGCCCAGTTCAACCCAGTTTACTCAGCTCAGCTCAGCCTAGCCCAATTCAACTCTGCTTAGCTCAGCCCAGTTCAACCCAGTTCAGCTCAGCTCAGCCCAGTTTAGCTTAGCTCAGCTCAGCCTAGCCCAGCTCAACTCTGCTTAGCTCAGTTTAGCTCACCCAGCTCACCCAGCTCAGCCCAGCTCAGCCCAGCTCAGCTCAGCCTAACTAAGTCCAGTTCAGCCCAGCCCAGCCCAGCCCAGCCCAGCTCAGCTAAGTTCAGCTCAGCCCAGCTCAGCTCAGCTCAGCCCAACTCAGCCCAGTTCAGCCCAGCCCAGCCCAGCCCAGCTCAGCTCAGTTCAGCCCAGTTTAGCTCAGCTCAGCCCAGCTCAGCCCAGTTCAGCCCAGTTTAGCTCAGCTCAGTTCAGCCCAGCTCACACAGCTCAGCCCAGTTTAGCTCAGCTCAGCTCAGCCTAGCCCAGCTCAACTCTGTTCAGCCCAGTTTAGCTCAGCTCAGCCCAGCTCAGCCCAGTCCAGCCCAGTTTAGCTCAGCTCAGCTCACCCAGCTCAGCCCGGCTTAGCTCAGCCCAACTCAGCCCAGCTCAGCTAAGTTCAGCTCAGCTCAGCTCAGCTCAGCTAAGTTCAGCTCAGTTCAGCCCAGTTCAGCCCAGTTTAGCTCAGCTCAGCCCAGTTCATCCCAGTTTAGCTCAGCTCAGCCCAGCTCAGCTCAGTCCAACTCAGCCCAGCTCAGCCCAGCCCAGCTCAGCCCAGCCCAGCTCAGCTCAGTTCAGCCCAGCTCAGCTCAGTTCAGCCCAGTTTAGCTCAGCTCAGCCCAGCTCAGCCCAGTTCATCCCAGTTTAGCTCAGCTCAGCCCAGTTCAGCCCAGTTTAGCTCAGCTCAGCCTAGCCAAGCTCAACTCTGCTCAGCCCAGTTTAGCTTAGCTTAGCCCAGCTCAGCCCAGTTCATCCCAGTTTAGCTCAGCTCAGCCCAGTCCAACCCAGTTCAGCTCAGCTCAGTTCAGCTCAGCTCAGCCCATCTCAGCTCAGTTCAGCCCAGCTCACTCAGCTCAGCCCAGCTGAAATCAACCAGCCTAGTTTATCCCAGAAGCTCACACCAGGCCACAGCAGCCAAGTTCACCCCTGACCAGGTAGAGCGTCCTGCCCTGTGGTCCTCTGGGGTCTCTGTCTGCCTCTTCCTGTCCTCTCTGTCTTGGTGTCTGTTCTCCATCCCCCTTGTCCCAGAAGGCTCAGAAGTGACTGGCTGAGGAAGAGACAAGGCCTGAGCCGCATCGGGGACCCACCTGCTCAAGGCTGCTGAAGGGTCCACCATGGCCGAGAGGCCCAGGCCTCCCTTGGCCAGGTGGCCCCACGCTGCAGGTCCATCCTCTTGTCCGTCCCAAAGCAGCTAGAGCGGGGAGGAGGCCAGACCTTGTCTAGGCCCTTCCCGATGGCTGTGTGGCTTCAGCAGACCCCTGCCCCATTCCGGGCAAGGCTGATGCTGTGAGACGCAGGCTAGGGAGGGGCTGCACGACTGTGTCATGATTCTAGATGGGGTCACTCGCCCACTTCCTGTCCCACCAGTCGTGGCTGCTCGTCTCCACGTCATGTCTAGTCTGTGGTCTGGCTGTGGCGAGGCCAGGTGTGTGTGGCCTGAGCTGTGACCCCCAGTAGCCTGTTCCTGGCTCCATGTGGGGGCCCACAGGGCTGGGCAGGGGGCTGAGGTGCAGGAAAGCAGAGGCCAAAGCAAATGCAGTGAGGGGCTCAGGGCACTGAAGTAGAGATGGTCCCAGAGGTGGACGTGGAGTGAGGGCCAGTGGAGAAGATGCAGAGCTGGTGGGGCAGGGGGCCCGAGGCCCAGAGCTTGCTTTGAGAGCAGGCTTCGGTGGACTTCAGGCCACAGAGCAGGACAAGAAAGGGGGAGCCACTCTGGCCTGGGCATGACCAGTGGCTGCCCTTCTGAAGCCAGTCCCATGAGCAGCTGGGGCCCAGACTGCAGCTGGGATGGGAGCCTGGAGCCCTGCAGGCTGGGGTGGCCAAGGTGCTATTTCCTGCCCAGGGCACCCACCTCACCAGCCCTGCTGACCCCGCTGGCTGTCCAAGCCTCACCCACTTTGCCTGCTCCCGGGCACCCCACTTAGCCCTCCCTGGTGCCCCCTCAAGAAGTGGCCCCTGCCTGGGCACACAGGGGGCAGTTGGGCCTGGTTTGCATCTGTGTTCATTCATTCAGTCATTTCTTTACACGCAGAAGGTCCTGGAGAGACACACAGGAACTGACAGTCCCCTCCAGAAAGTACGCCCTAGCAGGGAGAGCTGCAGATGGGATGGAGACGCCCGCCAATGACACTGGGCCGCAGGAGGAGGTCAGCTTTTCCTAGGAGGTCCGGGGCCCAGGGCATGTGGGGCAGGAGAGGAGATGGATGGGGAGGGCGCCAGGGGCAGCTCAAGGAAACTCTGGGTTCTATTTTAGGAACACCAGGATTACTGTGGTGTCATCACCTGTGAGGGACATTTCCTCCCATGGCCACCTGCCTTTTGTCCCTACCAGGCCCGCATGCCCTCACGAGCACCAGCGCTGCCTGCATTGAGGATGACTGCCCCCACAGCTCCACCTTCGTGCCCGCCTGTGAGTCCCAAGCCCTGCATCCCCCAAAGCTGCCCCTGCCCGAGGGCGCAGGAAGAATGAACATGGGACCCGTGGTGGGGCCTTGTGGGCTGGGACAGCCCTTGGCATGGAGGAAGCAGAGGAGGGCAGTGGGGGCAGCGGGGGACACTCAGTGGCCCACCCTCTCCTGTGGCATCCCTGTTCCCCTCAGCCTGGGCACACACATGGATGGCACTACCCGACCCTGAGTACCGAGTGGAACTCAGGGTAGAAGGGGAAGCTCGCATTTGGACTTGAGATGTGACGCTGGTGGTGGCAGCGTGACCCAGTGGTGGCAGCAGTTGGGTGGAGGAGGCCTGGGCTGAGCTGCGCCCTGCACCTCCTGTGTGTCAGGGGCTGCACGAGGGCCCAGTGACAGTGGAAAGAGCCTGGAGGCCGGTCCTGCTCAGGCTTCTCCAACAGAGAAGGAACCCCTGCTTGGCCTGCTGGCTCAGTGTATGAGTGTTCTGGGCCGTCTGTGACAAAGGACCACAGACCGAGTGGCTTCAAACAACAGAAATTCATTCTCATGTTCTGGAGGCCGGAAGTCCATCCGGGTGTTGGCAGGGCCACTCTTTCCACAGGACCCAGGGGAGGGTCCTTCCTGCCTCTTCCAGCCTCTGGGGCTCCATGCATCCCTGGGCTCGTGGCTGCATCACCCCAGGCTCTGCCTCCATCTTTACGTGGCTTCCTCTTTGTCTGCGTCTTCTCCTCTTCTGTCTCTTAGAAGGACTCTCGCCATTGGATGGGGGGCCACCTGGCCATCCTCCTCCTAATCCTTAACTTTAACCGCATCTGCAAAGACCCCTTTTCCAAATGAGGTCCATTCATAGGTTCCAGGGGGCAGGACGTGGGTATAGCCTTTGGACTCCCCACTCAGCCCACTATGGTGGGTTGATACGAGAAGGAGGACCGGGGGCTGTGGGCCGGGGGCCACTGGCTGCTGGGAGGGCATGGGAATAATCACTGGGGAGCCCAGAGCCTGGGTGTGAACCCTGCCCTCTCCTGTGCCCGAGGCCCTGAGCTCAGGCTCTTCAGGTGGGGTAACCATCACTCCTCCCTTCCCAGCTTGGCAGAGATGCAATTCGCCCATGTGTGATGGTGCCAGGCTCACAGGGACCCATGTGGGCCAAGCCCTGTTGCCCTTGTTCTGGGGTCATGGGGTTCTCATGATCTGGGGTGCAAGTCAGAGTACAAAGACACTGAGCTCTGCCCTTGGGGGTGCCCAGTCCAGGAGACGGGGATGCTTCTCAACCTCAGCTTGAGAGAGCCTTGCAGAGGGGAGGTTGGGGGCTTCCTGAGACTGTGTGCATCTGTACACGTGGGAGAGCGTGTGTCCTATGTAAGTGTGTGTGAGTGTCTGTGTGTCTGAGTGTGACTGTCCCCATGAGTGTGACAGTGTGTGTGAGTGTGTCCCTGAGTGTGACAGTGTGTGAGTGTATGTGAGTATCTGTGTTACTATCCCTGAGTGTATGACAATATATATCATGTCAGCATGTCCCCAAGTGTTCCTGAGTGTATGTGAGTGTGTCTGAGTGTCCCCATGTGTGTGACAGCGTGTGTGTGTCTGAGTGTCTCCGAGTGTGTGTGTGTGTGTCCCCGAGTGTGTGACAGTGTGTGAGTGAGTCTGAGTGTGTCTGTGTGAAGTGTGTCTGAATGTGCCCAAGTGTGTGTGTGTCTGAGTGTTCCTGAGTGTGTCTGTGAGTGTGAGTGTTTCCGAGTGTGTCTGTAAGTGTGTTTCCGAGTGTGTCTGTGAGTGTGTTTCCGAGTGTGTCTGTGAGTGTGTCTGAGTGTTCCGGAGTGTGTCTGTGAGTGTGAGTGTTTCCGAGTGTGTGATTGTGTGTCTGTGTGAGAGCAGAGCAGGCGAGCTGCATTGAGAGAAGCCCTGCGACTCTGTGTTCTATTCAGACCCAGTCTTCAGTGTTTCTGGACGAGACTCAGAGGTGCCCAGTCTTGGCTTTTTTGCCCCGATGGGGGGCTGGGGTCTGAGCCCTGGCAGGCTGCATGCTTGGCTCGCCGACAGAACTCAAGTCCATCCTCATTCGTGTCAGCCGTGTGACGCCGTACGTCCCAGCATGAAGCCAGGCTCTCTGACAGACATTCGTGAGGGCTGGGATCTCCTGTCCACAGGGTCTGGGCATTTGAAACCAGAAGTGTGGCCAGTGGGCTGAAGAATGGTCTCAGCAACACACACGCCTCCCAGGGCTGAGACCCCCAGAGCACGCTCAGACCCACCCCTGGTTTCTCCTGTTGTAACTTCTCTAGTTATTAAAACATTTTCTTCCAATTATTGGCCACTTGGTTTTTCCTTGCTGTGCAGGACCCACCACCCACTTTTCTCTTTCTCCTGGTGCCCGAGTGCTCTCGGGAACCCTGCCCTTCATCACGTGTGTTCCCGTATTCTCCCCCATTTCCAGAGACCCTCATGGGCAGGTCTCTCCTGCCATGGAAGCCACCTCTTTATCCTGAGGAGGGGCACAGTCCGTGCCTACCGCCGTCCATGGCCATGTGGCCATGTCACCCGGACCTGTGACCTCTGTCTTCCCGGCCCACCAGGCTTCTTCTCGAGGGCGGGCGGCCAGCCCCACACTGCGTTTGCTTGCTTGAGCGCCTTGCTCAGCTCATCGGGATATCCAGACTGGCTTGGGGCAGGGGACGGGGGCCAAGGGTTGTGCTTCTCTCTTGACTGCTGGTACCCAGAACTCAGCCCTGTGGCCGCTCCCCTCACCCCTCGGGGATGCCCCCAGCACCACATCAGCCTGGTTGTGTGCTCACTGGGTGGACGGATTGGGGCGAGTGACCAGTGGCCCCGAGAGGCTGATGTTGGCCTGACCTGTTGGCTGCAGCTGCATTCCTGGGGCCCCTGCACCACCCATAGAACCAGGCCTCTGGGTTTGCCCACGAGGGTTGGAACTGGGACTTTTGTGTTGGTGTGGGAAGGGGCACCATGTCTGGGCTGGAGACCAGTGAGCAGGTGTGATAGGGACTGAGCTGGGGGTGTCTCGGGGGTGTTGAAGGCACCCTTGCAGGCAGTGGCTGGCCACTTGGGCCCCAGAGCTGCCCCATACCCCCTTCCCTCTAGCCCCTTGTCTGACCACCCCCACAGGACCACAGGCACCTCCCCTAAGCACACGCAGGTGGCACTGGATTTATAAAAGAAACTTTACTAAGAAACCCAAAGGGAAGGAAACAGAACTGCCAAGCCAGGAGTGAGAGTTTGGACGAGGCCACGGTGGGCGGGCCTAGGGGCTGCAGGGCCACATGGGCCGCTGTGTGGACCCCACGGGAACTCCTTGTTTCACCTGTGGGGCCCTGCCCACATCCCTGACAGTCCTGGGGCCTTTCCCCGAAGGGGCTCCTCTGCCTGCACGTTCTGGAGGGCAGGGCCAGGCACGGGGGCCAGCCACTCGGACCTGGGGCCAGTGAGGGCCAGACTAAGTCACGGCAGTGAGACTTTGGACTGGCCTTGGACACTGAGCAGTGGGCTGGACCATGGGCTCCAGGCGTCACTTGTTTTGGGGATTGTTCAGGCAGTATGGCAGTGGCCCTGACCCCAGGGGCCTGGGTGGACCCGAGAGTGGATGGCACCCACGGCCAGCTCAGGTCACTCTGTCGAAGGGACAGATACTATTCTGAGACGTCCCAAAGTAGGGTGAGGGTGGGGCTGTGATTGGCCTGGACCTTCTTGGCGCCCGTGAGCTGGTTGTTCGGTCCTTGGTCCTGGTCCCTTTGGGGTTTGTGTGCTCCGTCGCTCGCACCCAGAGCAGAGCTGGCAGCCTCAGCGATGCTCAGACGTGGGGAGGGCGGAATGGAGGCCTGCGCTGCTCACCCTCCAGGCCCAGGCTGGCGGCCGCACGTTCGCGTAGTCGTGGGTGGGCTGGGGCTCCTGCAGGAGGGCGGCGAAGACCCACTTCACCTGTGAGGAGGGCGCATGAGGGGCTCGGCTCCGACTCGGGCTGCCCCTCTTGGTGGGCCTCCCTGGCCCACCGTGGCCGTGGAGCAGGGGCTCTGGCCCACCTTGAAGACGGTGACAGAGGCACCGTAGGTGACGCTGAGCAGGAAGAGCGCGATGAACGTGAAGAGGCTGGTCCACAGCCCGTCCAGCTCCTCACTCTCGGCTGTCCCCACACACAGGTCCTGGAGGTCCAGCTCTGTGGGCACCTGCAGTCAGCCCTCCCCGGCCTCAGGCACGAAGGCGGGGAGGGCAGGTCTCCCACCATCAGGGAGTGGAGAGCATGGGGGCCCTGAGCCCTGGTTTCCGGTGCCCTGGTCACGGGCAGTCCCGGCGATGGCCGGTGGCTGTGGGGCTGTGGCTCAGTCCTCTGCCCCTCCCGGCCCTCTCGGTGGCCGCATTTCCTCAACCTCCACTTCTTGTGCTTCTCTCCTGACTGCTGGTCACCCGAACTCAGCCCTGTGGCCCCTTCCCTCACCCCCTGGGGATGCGACCCCCACCTAGCACCGCATCAGGCTGCCCAGCCCGGTCCCCCAGCCCGGTGCCTGCACAACTTCACTCCTGCCGTCCTGGGAACCCCTCCAAACCACTCTCGTCGCTGGCCGCCAGAGCCCAGGAGAGTCTGAGCTCTGCAGCCACTGGCTATAGCAGCGGGTGCTCTGAGGGGTTGGCCAGGGCCCTGCTCTGGCCCCACCACTCTCTCAGCCTCCCACTCTGAGGAGTGAGGTGTGCCTGTGTGCTGGCGCCAGCCGGGGGCCTCTGGTCTGTGTCTTCAGAGTGTGGGCTGGTGCTTGTGGCTTTTCATGGTGGGTGCTGGTATGCTATGGAGTGTGTGTGTGTGTGCATGTGTGTGTGTGTGTGTGTGTGTGTGTGTCTGTGTAGGACGGGCGTGAGATCTGGCGGGTGTCACACATGCACAACAGTTTGGTACTTAAGGAGTGGGCTTGGCCCCTGGCTCCGATCCCCACATTCTCCAGGCCCCGTGGCAGGGCCAGCAGTCTGCCCTGGGGTGTGAGGCAGAGCTCACATCCTGAATATGTGTGTTTCCAAGTGTGTCAGTGAGTCTGTATGTGTGCTGTGTCCATGTGCATCAGTGTGTGTGTCCTTGTGGGTCAGTGTGTGTAATCTGTGTGTATCCGTGCGTCTCTATGTGTCTGTGTCCATTTTGGTCCCTGTGTGTCCACGTGCACGACTGTGTGTATCTGTATCCATCTGTCTGTCTGCAGGTGCAGCTGACAGGGAAGGTTGGATTGGGGAGGCTGAGCCAAAGGAGGAAGTGGTGTGGGGCCTGCTGGGGGGAGGCCTTCCATGCCTGTCTTGGATCCTGTGGCCCAAGTGTGGCTGGGAAGGATCTGGGAGTGGCCTGTGCAAGAGGGCCATGGGATGCCACACAAGTGTGTACGTGAGACATGCGGCTGTGTGGGGCACCTGTGTTGGCAATGCGTGGCTCTGTCGGAGTCATGTGTGACGGTGTGGGTGCAGGACCAGCAGTGTGAGCTTGTGAGGCTCGTGGAAGCACGCGTGTGAGGGCCAGGCCCTTCCCTGGGAGCAGTTCGGGTGGAGTGAGGCTAGGCAGCAAGACTGCAACACTGGGTGCCCACCTGGCCCAGCGTGACCACGTGGAAAGGAGAGGGTCAGAAGGCGGGCTTTGCGAGAGGGCTCGGCGCTGGCCCTGCGTGGGCTTGGGGGCCTGCTCTGGCCCGCTTGTGCTGGTGGTGCTGGCAGTGGGAACCGACAGGTGGGCTGTCTGGGGTCCCTGTGTGTTGGCACCTGTGCGAGCTTCTCATTTAGCCTGTTCCTTTCGCAGAAGGGCCTGTGTGTGTGCAGCTAGACCTGGGGGTTTGGGATCTGGGGGTTTGGCAGGAGCCTGGGGTGGAGGCCAAGGCCGCCTGGACCTCCTGGGGACAGAGGATCTGTGGGCTGGGCTGGGGTCTCTGTGGTTCCTCCCCTGGGACCACACTCTGGTCCTCAGGACTCCTTTGAGTAAACAGGACCGAAAGTGGGGTGGCAGAGAAGGCCCGACTTGGATGAGGACGGTGGACTGAGGCATGTGTCAGCCCCGCCCCGCCCCTTCTCCTGGAGGTGCAGGCCTCTGCACCAAGCCCCACCCACCCCAAGAACGCTGCGCCCAGGGCTCGGAGCAAGCACGGGAGGTTTATTGAAAACATTGGACAGGAGGTTTGGCAAGTCCTCTCCCTTTCCCAGCAGGATGGGGCCCTGGGAAGTGGGGGGGGGGCATCAATTACCGGGGTCTTTGGACACCGATTTCTCCAGGGTCCTGGAGCCAGTCAACGCCTCGTGGACCACTTGGCAGGTGAATTTGCTCTTCTCCCAGTCCGCCTGGCGGACCTCCAGGCGGCTGAAGACAAAGAAAGCGGGGCTGGAGCTGTTGGCCTTGAGGGGCCCCGTGGTGGTGTGCTGGTCGGTCTGAATCGGGGTGTTGTCCTGCAGCCACCGCACAGAGATGTCGGCGGGGAAGAAATTCTGGATCAAGCAGGTGAGGGTGACCATGTCCTTGGTTCCCTGTTTCTCCTCGGGAGGCAGGAACGCGTAGACCTCAGGGGCAGCTCGCTTGCCTGTGGACACATGTGGGGTCAGCTGAGGCTCCAGCCAGGGCCCCGCTGCCCACCTCCACAACCACCTCCCCCCCAGGCCATGGCTCACCGGGGGCCTTGGAGATGGTGCGCACGATGTCCTTGGGCAGCTGTGGGTGGGTCACTTTGCACTGGTAGGTCACGCCCTCGATCCAGTCATTGGCGTCCACTGGCAGGGTGGACGTGACAGTAAAAGTCATGTTGAAGTGCTGCTTGTGGTTCTCTGTGGCCTTCTTCTCGAGGACCTCGTTCTCCCGGGACCACTGCATGACCATGCCCTTTATGCTGGCCAGGTCCACCACCAGGCAGGTGATCTTGGGCGACTTGTGGATGTACAGGTCGAGGGGAGTGGGCGGGATCAAGTAGACGCTCACACCACGGGGCTCGGACTCTGTGGGTGGGGAGGGGATGTGTGAGGCTGAGATACCCCTCCCAGCCCTGAGTGTCTGGGGCACCAGAGTGGGGGCTGTACCTGGGCAGTCACGGGCATTGCCCTCGTAGGTGTTGCCCATGTAGTTGACCTGGCAGGTGTAGGTGCTCTGGGAAGTCCACTGGCCCTGGGTGATGTTGAGCTGGCTGTAGGAGGAGGCCAGCTTGCCCTCCTGCTTGGGGGGACTGGTGTATGGAAACATGTTCTTGGTCTTCTGCCCATCCACCAGCCAGGTGACCTCAATGTCACCTGGGGTGTAGTCGGAGATGAGGCACAGGAGCTGGATGGTCGCGTGGGTGTTACCGAGGGGGTCACAGGAGGAGTGGAAGAGTTTCACAGTGGGCTGGGTGAAGTTTATGGCACATGCTGGGGACGGGGGTGACAGTGTGAGGTTGACCTCTCAGCCTGTGAGCCCCCCGCCCCCTAGCCTGCTCCCCTCCTCTGACAGTGGCCCCCTGGCTGTAGTACTCACCAAGAAAGGTTTTGTTGATGGGGGTGGACCCGGCGTGCACCACGCTGCAGGTGAACTTCTGTTTGGCCCATGCGCCCGAGACGATCAGCTGGCTGAAGGTGACGTAGAGTCTGGAGGTCGAGTTGGGGCCAGAGGTCGAGTCGAAGACAGCAGGGAAGGTAATGGCGTTTTTGTCCAGGGATCCTGCATCCCAGGTCACGGTCACTGGCTCGGGGAAGTAGCCTCGGACCAGGCAGCCCAGCGTCACGGACTTGTCAGCAGAACTGGTTTTACTGCAGCAGGAGGCCACCGGGAAGACGGAGGGGCTTGTCCTGGGAACTGTGGGGTGGGGCCGGGCTGGGTCAATGCTGGCTGACCTCTAACCTGGGGCATCCACTGTCGGGGTCCTGGGGAGTCTGGGAGGGAGGGCTGTAGGGTGGAGGTGGGTGGCCTATGGAGGGAGCGCTGGACCCCTGCTCTAGTCTCGGGAGACAAAATGGCCCAGGCTCATTTTAGGCTCTTTCTTCATTCTCTGATTCCTCCCAGGACACCCTTTGATGAACTCTGTGCCCTTGCCAGGAGCTGTTGCTGTCACCACCCTCTGCCTTGAGTGGCCAGAACACAGGGTTCTCAGCAGGAGAGGCAACAGCCATTCCCTCGGGCTGAGGTTCAGAGCTCATAGCCCCCCACTGGGGAGCAGGGACCCCGAGACTCTCAGGAATCACTAGGCTACCTACCCACTCCCACTCACAGACCCAAACTGTGAAGCAGGATCCCTGAGGCCCCCAGGAACTGGCAAGATGTCCCCTCTGCCCCAGCTGTAGCCCCACACCCAGGCCTGGGGACCCAGAGACCCCATCCCCCAGGAATCACCAGTGTGTCCCTCCCCCACCCCAAAGTCTTTGTGGGGCTTGTCAAAGGCATGTCCACTTGCCACTCACCAGGTCCTGCTCCCTACAGCTGTGGCTGCCCCGTCATCCTGTCCCTCCCTGACCAACCAGGCTGTCCAGGTGTGCAACCCTCCCTGCTGACCCCCGCAGGCACCCAACTACAGGCTCCACGGTTAGAGAATGAAGACCCCACAGAACCCACCTCAGTCCCTTCTTTAACAGGTGACTCTGCCTGCCCCCCGGGCCTTGGAACACCTACTCCACACTGCCAGCTGAGCCCAGTCCAGGTGACCGCGTGTCAGGACAGCTGGCACCAGCCAAGACCAACCAGCTTCACAGCCCAGCCAGCCCAGTCCAGCTCTGCCCAGTCCAGGCCAGCTCAGTGCTAGACAGCCCACCTTGGCCCATCCTGGCTCAGATCAGCCCAGGATAGGACATTTCAAGCTATGAAACTCATCTTAACTCAGTTCCCACAACTCAACCAGTCATTCCGGTGCAGCCCATCTCAACCTGCCAACCAAGGACAATCTTCCTCAGTAAGCTGAGCTCAGTTTAGCACAACTGAGCTGAGTCAGGTGGGCCTTGGAGACTGGCACCAACCTGCTTGACCAGGTTGGGTCCAGGTCTGCTAAGCCAACTTAGTCCAGTTCAGCTCAGCCAGCTAACCCAGTTCATCCCAGCTCAGCCCGGTTCAGCCCAGTTCAGCCAGCTTAGCTCAGCTCAACCTAGCTCAGCTAGCTTAGCTGAGCTATTCCAGTTTGACCCAATTCAATTCAGCTCAACCCAACTCAGCACAGCTTAACCTAGGTCAGTCCAGCTAAACCCAGTTCAGCCCAGCTCAGTCCAGTTCAGCCCAGCTCAGCCCAGTTCAGCCAGCTTAGCTCAGCTCAACCTGGCTCAGCTAGCTTAGCTGAGCTATTCCAGTTCGACCCAGTTCAATTCAGCTCAGCCCAACTCAGCCCAGCTTAACCTAGGTCAGTCCAGCTAAACCCAGTTCAGCCCAGCTCAACCCTGTTCACTTTAGCTCAACCTCGTTTACTTTAGCTTAACCCTGTTTTTAGCTCAGCTAAGCTTAGCTCAGCCCAGTTCAACCCAGCTCAGCCCAGCTCAGCCCTGCCCAGGCCTGTGAGGCTCAGCAGAGAACAGCCCAGTAAAGCCCACCTCTGCCACATAGCCCATTCCACTCCACCCAGCTTACTGTAGTTTGGCTCTACTCTGCTGAGTCCAGCTCCTCCTGATTCAGCCCAGCTCAGCTCAGCAGAGTCCAGCCAAGTCCAGGTCAGCACCATTTAGCTCAGGTCAGCCCAGTTGAGCCAATCCAGGACAGCCCAGTCCAGGCTACCTCAGTTCTGCTCAGTGACCTAGCCATCCATGTCTGCCTGGTCCAGGACAACACAGCTCAGCCCCACACTGCCCACCTCAGCTGAGTGCAAAAGGCCTTTGGACAGCCCAGCTCAGCATAGCCTGGCTTAGCTCAGGCCGCCCAGCTCAGTCCAGCATGGCTAAGGACAGCTCAGCTTATACAAGCCTGGCCCAGCTGAGCCAAGGGTAGATCATGTGCCTCCGAATAACTGTCCACGCAAGTCACACCCAGACCGGCCCAGCCCACCTTAGCCAGGCCAGTTCAGGCCAGAAGATGTGGCCTCAGCCCAGCCCAGCTCAGCCCAGCCCAGCCCAGCTCAGCCCAGCCCAGGCCAGCCCAGCTCAGCCCAGCCCAGCCCAGGCCAGTTCAGCCCAGTCCAGCCCAGTGAAGCCAGCTCAGGCCAGAAGATGTGTCCCCAGGCAAACCTGCTGAATGGTCCAGCACGGGGACAGCTCACTGCTGCTTTGCCCCGACCCTGGGCTGGTGACCACTGTCCTGGCAGACCCACGCCCAGCCCACTGTCCACCTTCTGCTTGATCCCTGACCGTCAGCCTTCGGCCCTGCCCCAGCCCTGTCCCATTGAGGTTCTCGGCTCCTTGTCATCTCCAGGTTGGCTGTGGGCAATCTCTTCTTCCCTGTGTCCCCATTCAGGGAAGGGACAGCTGAGAGACAAGCAGTGACCAATAGGTTGGGTCCATGCTGGGTGGCCAGTCTAGGTGTCCTCTTCCTGGCAGCGGCCCAGGCAGCCTGACCCTCATTGCTGCTTGGGCCAGCCCCCAATGCAGGGGCACCTGGAGTGCCGGGGTCCTCCGTCAGGTGCCATGGCCGGTGTGGCCCATACCCGCCGTCTGCAGCTCCCTGGATAGGCTCCCAGGCACGGTCATTAGAAACCATTGTTGTTTTTACACCCAGACAATAGGGCCTGGGGGAGGGGAGCTATGCCTCAGTGCTCGCAACTAAAAATGGGATGGGAACCCCCAGAGAGCTGGGCAGTGCTGGGAGTTCCCTTCTTTTTCTCTGTTCTTGGGAAATCGGTCGAGCGATGGGGGCGGGGGTCTCAGAGAGGCCGCTGTGCTGTGGCTGAGGTGCTGTCCTCCCTGGCCTCGTGCCCTGGCCTCCACTGCCCAGCTCGTGGCCTCTCTCCCATGATGCTGTTACCGACTGGGTGTGCTGTCAGCAGACACCCGTGGTCACCGAGCTGCCCTGAGGAGGGACTGGGCACCAGGCACTGCCACCGCTGCTGCCAAGGCTGTCCTGTGAGGACAAGGCCGTGGCTCGTTGTGCCTCAGAAATGGAGGCCTGTGTGGGCCATGTGCACGAGGCCTGAATGCAGGGCTCCCCTGTGGCACGCTGCACAGAGGGGGTGGCTTTGAGTGTGTGTGTGCAGGTCCACAGGTCCACTCAGGCACAGGCAGGCTGGGGTCTCCTGGGCACCTGCTGGTGGGTGACCTTGCCCATCACTTATGTGGTCACCCCCATGTCACTGTCCTGCAGCTGGAGCTCCCATCAGGGCTGTGACTGGGTGGCGTGGACAGTGAGGGCCAGCCAGGGTATGTGCAGAAACTGGACGTGGCTGTGAGGCGGGCTGGTGGCTCTGCAAGGACCCCTGTAGCTTCTGGGGCCCAGGGTGCTCCATGCCATGTCCGTGCCATGGGCACCCATGAGGGTGTGGGGCCACGTGCTGGGTGGGTCCAGGCCTTGTCTTCACACTGTGCACGTGTCCAGCAGGCTGGGTGTCCCCAGAAACCCCCTAAGGCTCACATGCACACATGGGGAGGCCAGGGGAACCTGTCAGCCCAGCTCATCACTGTGGGCTGCTGGGAGGGATGTGCAGAGCTTTGGAGAGGAAGACATTAGGACACTGTCCCCTGCGCCTGGGACACCCAGGGCCCGTGGTCCCTGTGCAAGGAGGCTGTGTGGAGTTGGCTCTGTCAGGCCTGGCACCCTCGGAAAACCCCGGAGGGGCTGCTGTGTGGCCCGGCCAGGTTGGGCGGGCTGACAGGTGCACTGGCCAGGGCCCCCCAGGGCAGACTCCTTGTCTGTAACATTCTTCCCTTGGCCCCGGCGAGACACTGCGTGGGAGGCAGAGTTAGCAGTGTAGAGTTCCTTGGAAGCACCCATGACTTTGAGAGAAACCTCTGGGCTGGGGGGAGGGCAGAACCCCAGTGGGCGGTGGGATGCAGGCCAGGTGTGCCTGCACATGTGGGAGTGTGTGGGGCTGGGGGCTCCCTGGCCACCCTGCCCTTCTCCCTGGGCTGTGGGTATTTGGGGCCTGGGCCTCAGTGCCCAGCCAGCCTCCCAGCTCTACCCTGAAGTCCCAGAATAGCTGGCCTGCTGGCTCAGAGGCAGGAACTGCATTGGGGGTGGGCCCTGTCTCCACGCTTGGCTGACTTTGGGGTTCCTTGGCCTTGGAGGAGAAATTCCCTCCCAGATCGTCCGAACTCTGGACACACAGGTCTGTGCTGCCCCTGTACCTCCCTGGGGCTGTGGCCCTGCTCCAGCCTCCAGGAATTGCCCTGGTCTCTCCTGCTTCTGTCCAAGAGTGGCCTGATGCTCCCGTCCTGCCTGCTGGGTGCCCGCCACCCAGTAGGCATGTGCTCCAGGCCTCCCTGCCACACTGCTGTGGCCCCACCCTGTCGCTCCTGTGTGACTCAGGACAGTCTGCATTAGATGAACTGCATCTCAGCTGTGCACGTGTGTGAGTATGCATCTATGCAACATGCACGGTGCACGTGTCTGTGTGCATGTATGTGTGCAGGTGTGTCTGCAGCATGCATAGTGCGTGTGTCTGTGTGCACGCGTGTGTGACATACATAGTGAATGTACAGTGTGTGTGTGTGCCTGTGACATACATAGTGAATGTGTCTACGTGCATATGTGAATGCACACACGTGAGTACATGCATGTGACACACATGGTACATGTGCGCACACACATGTGTGTGTGTGGGAACAGGGGGAGGTGTGCCCGCCCGACCCCCACCCTCGAAAGACCGTGCTGACCGAGGAAGGCTGTGGGTCAGCAGGTGCAAGGACACAGCTGCTGTTCACCTGCGTGTGGCTGGCTTGGGGGGGCAGTGCTGCTTG